CGAGATGGTGCCAGCAAAGGTTAGCGCTTGGCCTATCGTGATGGTTGTGGATTGGATCGGTCACTTCAGCAAATTTGTCAAGATCATCTTGAAAAGGGCTGGTGATTAAAAAACGACACCATGCTTACCGAGAGGCAAGTCATCCATGATTCTTTAAGAATTTCGTCATTCAACTTATGACCACTAGCTAAAGTGTACTTGTGGCGTAGAAGCCGAGAAAGAGTGCGATCTCTGAGTTCGACTTTTGAAAAGAGTTGATGAAGTCATTTCTCTCAGGAAGCAGATAGACGACTGATAACAGCTTTCTTGAGTTGGTCGTAGGAGTTGTTCCCCGGCGGCTTGGGGGTGATGGCTGTAAATTGTGATTCGACGTTGTCTGATAGTGCGACGATAGCGTGCTGAAACCACTTCCTCGTTAGACAAGGCCTCGCGATTTGAAGATATTTTCTAGTTGCAAGAACTAGGTGTGAGGTCATTCTGGGTCGAAAGTGGGATAACCAGCAGAGACACCCGAGGCGTTCACAACGAGTTCTGTTTTTGAAGACATTCTGAGGGAGTAGGAGCTGGCGAAGAAGGTCGCCCTAGAGGAAACGCGATATGGCACATATGGCAGAGAGCTGCTTGCCATTTACTTAGCAGTCAAGCACATCCGACTTATATGGGAGGGACAGTAATTCACTTTTTCACCCCACACAAGCTATTCGAGCAACCGCAGTCCATCATTCTCACAAGGGAATTCGGCTTTTAGGCTTTATATCGCAATTCACCAACGACATACTACATATCGATGCCACTAGCAACGTTTTTATCGATTCAATGTTCCGTTTGGAACTAAAACAAATAGTCTTTTCCTCTCTCGACATGCAGGACCTAGCTGCCGAACATGCGGCGGTTTCAGATTTCATGTCCAACCCTTAGTTACGCTGCGAATGCTTACATCAGCAGGACTCTGACAACGTTTCAACCAGCAAGCCGAGACCATTCGTCCCACAAGTACACCGCCGGAAGATTTTCGACCATTTCCATGGATTGTCGCAACCAAGCATTCGTTCTACAACCAAGTTGCTTACTGACCTTTTCGTATGGAAGAACGCTCAACTCAACGTCCATAGGTGGGACAAAAATTGTCCCGCTTGTCAAGCCAACAAGGTTTACAAACTTACCAGAAGTCCATTCTCTCGTTTCCTCTCTTCGCACATCTTATCCTGCATTGATCGTTTTACGCTCTGGCCGATACCTTACCTACATCGGTGGCTAAAGCCCTGATGGTGTTCCAACCATAATCACAACAGGAAGAGGATCGCAATTCACCTCTACTTTATTTCTTGGGTCAAGTCATCTCTTTGTTTCAACTCACATTCACACGTCGGCCTATCACCCAGAAGCCAGTGATCTCGTCCAACCTTTTCATCGACAGCTTAAATCAACTACTATCACTACTCCTTCTGGTTAAATTGGGTGGAGCGTCTTCTCATTATTTTTCTCTCAATTAAAAGTACTATTAAGGAGGACTTTGGTTGTTATCCGGCGGAACTTGTATTCAGTACAACTCATAGACTACCTAGAGAAATGATTTCAGATTCCCAAAACCAAACCTGAGTAGACCCCTTGTCATAGTCTGCCCGACTAAAAGGTTATTTCAGATCTATTCTCCCAATTCCTACCTTAAATAATACACCTGTACATATTCACAAAGACTTACCTACATGCTCCTTCGTTTTCGTTCTAGTGGACACAATGAATAAACCTCTGCAGCCGCCGTACGTCGGACCCTATAAAGCCCTCAAAGGCAAACCCAAATATTTCATTCTTGACAGCAATGGTACCAAAGATTCCATAAGTATCGACAGGCTAAAGCCGACATATGTGGACCACCCTGCTACATCTGAACGTGCTGTTTGAGCACACCTGTCCAGTTCTACCCCCCCTCCCCCCCCCCATCATCAAATGGCATTTTACTCCCTCCCCCCCCCCACTACTACAGTCCTTTCCACAAATATTTCGAAACCTATAATTCCAACATCTGTCACATCTTGATCCAAACCCTTCTACACTCGTAGTGGTCGATGGATTCTTTCCCCTCCCGCTTAACTGACATTCGAGCGTTTTCTTTACCTTTTAGCTTCCTATAAAAACTCTGGGGGGGGGGTGGGTATTGTGGCGAAGGCAACTTTAGCATAATAAAAGCAGAGGCCTCTCAACCAAACAACGGTCAAAGGCAATGCATGGTTATCATGCCAAATTAACGTCGTGTCAATTAACAAATGTGCTGTGCCCCATAATGCCAAATAACCTTATTCCATGTCACACGTCTCTTTCCTCTATTAGGTTTACGGTGGTTTAGATAATTTTGGGAGCCTATCCAAACTTACGAGAAACTGCCGTAGAGACAATCCGCTGCAGTGTGGCTGATATCAGTTAAAGGCTAGTAACGCTTGGAAAGAAGAAGTTTCCTAACCTCACCAACAACATATCGCACAACCTATCCAAGCGTGCACATAGGGACACACGCAATAGTCGATTAGAGCACAAAGACATTGTCGCCTGCACATAATTTATGCATGATTATCTTTTTCATACTTATTTGGCAGTCAAATACTTTTAATGAATTATCTTTAAAATAGAAGTAAATGTTTATCTGTGGGATAAAAAGAGTATTTTTCACTTGTGTAAGATTAAACCAAAAAGTTATTATTAATTTATCTTACGATTCGCTTATAAATGCAAGCACTCACAGACATCCTATATGATCTTATGTCCACGCGCCTTTGCACCCTGTATGACGTATGGAATATCATTGAATGAAAATTGCCTTAATTATATATATATATATATATATATATATATATCACTTTGTGAATATAAGTACTTTCAAATAATTAACTCAATGCAGATGTCTACTAGCCCCCCCCCCCCAAAACCAATTTACGCTTCCTCCTAATCGAATAATTTTTAGTGCCACAAAAGAAGGCCAAAAGCCTCACTTGGGTATGCAGGGAAGAAGGACTCACGATTAATCGTTTTCAAATATCCAGTCAATCATGTATTATTTAAAAGTAAATACACTCTCCTGGAACTTGGATTGTTGCAGCTTCTAGTAAATATATATACACTTTCTAATCCCTTCTTACGTTTATAGGAATAGGGAAAGTAGGGAAATCCACCTATCCCATCTTGGCCACTAAGACTTTATAGAGTTTCAAGCAAAGTTCGTAAGTTTAGTCCACGTTACTTTACATTTAATATTGTCGTCTGAAGTAAATGTAAGTAAAAACCATTATGTTAAGTCATTTGAACATAATTAGTTAAATTGCAAAAATAATATTCTTAATTAGCTCTTAGCATATTACTTCTCTGAAATTTCAAATTCTTCTCAAATAATAACAGCATAGCTCCAGTTTTCGTGATTATTCCTTGAACCCTAACAATGTTAACTCCATTTAACTCCAGTTAACTCCATTTAATTGCTAAATTTGTTCAGATTACTCTATTTTTATCAATTAGTCCTTTACACCACCTTAAGAGGAGATAAGTAGACATGCCATTTAAAATTCTCTCATTGTAGCAGATTGAAAGAGAAGTAAATGTGGCTTTAAGTAAATAAATACGTGTCCACTGAAAATATCGACGATGAAGACAAAGTTCATTATGTTAACCACGTATTTTGGCCTAAATAAGACTTTAAAATTTTACAAATGAAAACATTTGACTTTTGGTTTCTGCTAATATTTTAATATGCCTTTATTAATGACGTAAAACATAGCGAAAACGAGTGCCATAGCATTAGGCTTCCACCCTACATATATTATGTCATATTTTAGTAAATTATATTCCTTTTTATAGTAGAGGAAATAGGACTACACTAAGAATATAAAAGTGAGACATGGTCATTTGTAACAATAATTAAAATGTTCCTAATTGAACGTCCTGCCTAAAAAAATATGTTTGATGCAATCGAGATGCAGGAGTTATTTAAACCGCATTCAGGAATGGAAAAGAAATAATACTGGGTCTAAGTGTGATTGAAATGGGTGAAAATGAAAAATATAGCCATATCACCCTTAGTTATGGAAAGGATAATAAATGTGCGTGCGGGTTTCACGCGATAGAAAGTTCTGCATTTCATTTTTACTGCAAGTCAACCTTACCTTGCCACTTTCTCTTCCAACATACAGGCCCTAACCCTAACCCTAAATTACGATTCAAAAGCGAGATAAAAGCCATTAAGTTTTTGAGTTCTTTGATAACGAATAAATGATGCAATACCATTTCCCAATAAGCGTTCCAATTTACGTTAAAAGATTCGGCAGCTGTTTATTTCTATTTTATTTTTTTCAATTTATTCAAAGGGGTCAACATATCTACCCCTACTTATTATCCTGCAAAAATGCATTAAATTTTAATCTATTTATTTAAAGATAATTTTAAACGTGCATGCGTGATTAAAATAATCTCACACAGGAAAGTTTATTAGTTATATTTGTTAAATCTATTTACGACCTAACCGCTTTATTATCCAATCTTGACTGTAATTCCGCTTACCGCTTTTAACATCAAGTGGCGACTGTAAGTATGAGCGAGCCGAATCTGTCGTTGCATATAAAAAGTAACGAATCGAAATCTCCTAGCGAATTCAAATGCAGTAATAAAAAACAACAATTTAACAACTTGAACCATGGCGGCTGGAGAGGTGTTATTATAGTTCGTATTATCAAACTTTAGGCAATCGTACTAATTGCAGCGATGTCGATCAGGAGACAAAATTCTCAACCAAAAAGAGCGATAAGTTAGTGTTTATCATGTTAAACCTTTCTTTTGCTCACTGTTTTAGAGCTGTCTTTGTTCGTTACATCCTTGATTTGCATTTTAATTCTTAACCACATCATGGCATACAGTTAAGCTTTGTTTCTTCATGTGTTCAGTAAGTATAAGAGTTGACATTTCTGTTAGATGTAGTGTAATAAGTACTTTTATTTATATTTTGTTTGACCATTACTCTCAATGATATTCGTTAATCCTATTCATGTTGTTTTTATGTGATCATTTGTCATTCACTTTCAGATCAGAGTTAGATAATCTTGAAATCTCTCAAATGGTAAACTCACGTTATGGTAACCGTTACAATCGGACTTCGATGACACGAAATCGATCAGGCAGATACTCTAGGGAGTTTAAACACGTTCCCACCCATCAACAATCTGCTGTGCTTTATGGCGCCGGTATGACAAGGCATATCGATTTAAAATCGGACAACGAAGATCAAAGAGTTGCTGTTGTGGGGACTATGCAAGCACTCGAAAAACCATATTTTCGTATATCTAAAGTGAGTTCTCTTTTTAATTTTAGTTAACTTATTCATGCTGTAAAGGTGAATGCTTATTAATGTCCATATTTCGTAAATGGGGTGGAAAGTGAAATGCGCTTATCTTGACTCCTGTTTAACTGATAGGAAGCTGACAGTTTAAAGTTTTTTTGGATATCGGGCAAATATTAGGGAATTCTAGAAGCAATGAAGGTTTTATCTCTTTATTGGACACTCATTTGCTAAGTCAAATGAAGCAACTTTTTTCGGCAGACAGGGGGTAATGCCAAATGTTTATCGATGGTCACTGATCTCATGACCCATGACTTGGCAGATGTATATGTCGTCAAGTTGTCATCTGAGAAGTATTAAATCTTGAAATGTGATGATAGTGATTTACCTCATCTGGTCACTGATTTCTGTCACTTTCATAATTAGTATTTCAATTTTCAGATTTCAGACCATCATATGTCCCAATTTAGCTCCCTGAGCGACTTGACTGCTCTAACTGTATGACTTAATATCATAATAACTGTGACTTTTACTACATATTTTAGACTCCTGCTCCTTGGGAAGTTAGACCACCTGAAGTGCTTCAACTTTCACTCCAACATATTCTCAAACTCTGGATGAATGGAGAACGGAAGTACGCCTGGATTAAGGATCAATTCAAGAGCATGCGACAGGACCTAATGGTAAGAAATTCTTATGCTAAAGCAACTTTAATCGCCTTTAGATTCAACGGGATTGTTCAGAGTTAGCTATCAAGATCTACGAGTCAAACGCCAAAGTTGCGATTGACGCTCATGACCCTTTGGAGTTCAATCAGTGTCAATCCCAACTCTCTGCTCTCTATTTCTCCGGTACTTCTTGGCCTCACAGACTAGAATTCACAGCCTATCGAATCCTATACTATATCTTCGTAGAAGACATTCAAGGTACGTATAATTGGACTATTCACAAACTGCAAACTTTATGGCTTATGGTGGCTCAATACCAGTCATAGTACTTCCAAATACCTAATGTACTAGAGTAGCCCTAATCCCGATAGTAGAGCTCCTCGAAGAACTTGACCAGGCTAGACCGAGAAATCTTCTTAAAAAACTAATGGTCTTAAAGATTAGTAGGGTACAACAACTTTCTCGAAATAGGTTGGCAAAGAACTAACAATGACCACTTATAAATTTGAAAAACGTAGTGGCGGATGGGAGGCGTTATTAAGCATTTGGAGAGATGGTGGAATCCGAGTTGAGACAAAGAGAGTCTATTGAAGTACGATAAAGGAGTGGGCAGGCAGGAGTTATGAGACATGCCGCTCATGATATAAGCCATCTTGAGGATCGATACTATTCCATAACATTCATCATTGTAGGCTTGAACCTTCTATTCATGCGCCTGAAACCCTCTGAGAAAAAGAATGTCTTCATTCAATTCGCCTTAAAGGCTTATAACGCATGGAGCCAGCACAATTACAAACGATTTATTGATCTTACTAATCACGCTGAGTTTGACGGAGGGGAGAAGTGTAAAGGCCTCCTCTCGTGGTCTCTTCCTCGTGAACGCCAACACGCAGTCAAAGCTATCTTTAAGAGGTGAGATTTTCCATGACCTTCGATTAAGATAGTGTCAAGCCCTTATTTGGTTTATTTTAACAAAGTTGTATCAAGTAGATAACTCGGAAAATTAGGTATAAAAGTAAAGAGCATATATCTTAGTCTCGAAGCGAAGATTTCGACATTGCTGCCCAAAAAGAGTCAAGCCTTGGGGTTTGTGTTAATGCGTTCTTTTGGAGCTTAGCTTCCAAAGCTACTCGAAGACTAATTTCCTGTTATATTTTGAAGGAAATCGGACCACTTCCCATTTTATTTAAAAAGCCATATATGTGGATAAGGGAATAATGATAAATGCCAACAATTAGATTACGATGATCGCGTATTTTGGTGATGGCAACCACCAGTACCCTCTGCTTGTCTTACTCTAGTCAACTTTGGCGAGGCAACTGAACACACGTCGATTAGTTAGTTTAATGCTATCCTCAAACTAATTGGAAGTTGGCTTGCACCCTTGATGGACCAACGCGAAGCCCAGGAATGCACGCAGAGCGGTCCAATGAGGAAGCCAAACTGGGCGCTCAGTGTGGCCCCCTCTGATGAGAAACTTGGATTTAATTTGCGACTTTGACCTTTTATCCTTGTAAGTGGGCACCAAATACGTTACCTAGGAATTCCATTTATCATAATTATTTCGCTCGAAACAACTGAAGAAATCGACCGGCCTAGAAACCTTGGGACAGACAATTGTACATGGGACTGATTCTAGAAAGGGATCACAAGATCAATACTCATGAGTATCAATTCGATATTGTTAGCTAGAAAGTAATACAGTGAGAAAGCTGCTCAGGAATGCACCACTTCCACCCCGGTCAATGATTATGAACTCTCCATAAGCTGGAAGCTTGATTTTGATTAACACTTTCCATTACCTCTTTTCAGCTACAGACAAACAGTGAGTCTGGACTTCATTGCCAAAACTCTGGGATTCGCAGACACACCATCCTGTACAAATTTCTTTGCCGATACAATGAAAGTCAGCTTAGATCTGTTGAAACCTTCCGATAACATTAGCTGTAAGGACGTTTGGTCAAAAATTAATCAAGCCCAAGTTACTACCTAAAGTGGCCATATGCATTCCACTTTCGTGGATGACCTGACATTTGTGTTTTACTCTACCATTGTATGAAACTTTTTACATGTATAGATGATATACATCTTGTCCCTTTATTGATTGTCAAATATATTCCCGTGTACGAAATACTCTTAAAGTTGAATGAAAGTAGCTTGATTGTACGAAGTGGCACCAAAATTCGGTCAACAGAGCCATTTCTTCGGTTCATCCAGAAGGAATAGTCTCAAGGGCGATGGGATACAACGAACTTCTCCGATTCAAAAGGCCACGGGTTGATTTGTACCGTGGATGAAGTGAGCGACCGCATTAGGGTAAGAAAGGGGCAATGGGCAAGGATCAGTGTAACATAGGTGGAAATGCGCTTGGATAAAGTGGTTAAATTAGTGAACCTAGATGAATTCAACTGTGTCGTGCAATTCATTCGTTTGATGAGCAGAGTTAAAGATCAGTAAGTGCGCGCTGTAAAATACTGCAAGTAGATAATAGTGGGTTTGAATTTGATTAGCACAAAAACCCTGACCACGACACAGTAAGAACATTAACGAAACATGGAGCTCTGCTGGAAATCAGTGCGTTGAAGTAACAACGAGCAGATCATGATAGTTGACACAAAGTGGTTATAAAGGCGCTTTAGGTCTGGAAATTTGGTCTGTTAACAGTGGAAAAGCTGATCGGGTGCATGTCATACCCACTGTTTGGTTGATGATCGAATCTTGCTATAGCGGGCCACTCGGATAGTTGTGTTCTATCACACAAATATTTCCAGGTGTTCTCCTGTTAAAACTGTGAGTTACATTGCATATTGCTACAGATGAATCAAAATTGGGATAAGGTTTCAGACAAACCAGCATATTCGATCTGCAGTTCCATCCTGAAGGAGGGAATATTAAGAAAAGAAGATAGTATGACCGCCTTTTCCAACCCCTTTACCACGTCTTGGAAAGATCAATAGAGGTCTTATCGACCATGCCTATGAAATGTTCTTTAATAAATACGTATTTAGACCACACTCATTGTAAGGCATTTCGTCCAGTGGGTTATCCACTACTGGATAATCACACCTAGATATGTAAGACCGCTGCAATTATTGGTAAGCCAGGCAGTCAATCATCTAACACAACCCACAAACGCGTTCATTTGTTCGAAAAAACCGTGAGCTTCAAAACCTCCTCCCGACGGTCCTGGCTTTGAAAAGGGTAAATTGAACATTGTAAAATATTCATCGTGGACTACCTACTGAAACTCTTGAAATAAGCATTATCAACCTACAGCTCATTTTCTGACTTTGGGGCTGATAGTTAAGCATTCCAACTGCGAATCAGATTATTGGCAAGCAGCAATCCAGATTACAGACGGCAGTGCTGACTGTATTCAACAACAAACCGTATGAATACAAATCCACTTTCTGCACTTATTTCAGTAATAAAAAATGACTGGATAATCAAAGAAAGAGTTGATTTAAACAATACGAGCAATGATTTCATACGCCGCACATATATTGAATGAATTAGCAAAATACTAATAACATACGAGATACAAATTTACATTCACTTAACAACAGGCGAGTTAAACGAACTCTATAAAAAAAGCAGAACAAGAAGAAAATACGAAATTCCCACAAGATGAATCATAAGTTCACTAACACAGGGTGCCCTAGCAACAAAAGTTAAACGAAGAAACGACAAATGAACCTAATATAATAAGCTAAATAGAAAAGTCATCTCACAATGCACAATAGTAATATTTTACAAAATGCTGACATCAAGGATACGAAAACTAGAGGCGGGGTTTGGGGATTATTGATCTGTACAATTAAAAAGGGAAATAAGGGAGGGTTTACAGACTCAGTGCAGACGCGAGCCATAGTAGCCACTGGGTCCAGTACTACTATTACCACTAACGGAAGGGGGTCTTGGATGATTAAATAATCGATCGGTAACATTTCCACCACTTACGGAAGCACTTGCAGGCCTAAGAATACTCGGCGCGGGTCTTCTGGAAACACTACTCTCATTTGCTGGAGAACTAGACACCACCGAAGTTGCGCTTTTTGAGTAAATAATCGGTGGTTCTTCTGAGAAATCTGATCCATTATCTCCAGAGTAGTTATAGTGCACCTCAGACCGAATCCCACTGTTTTGGTGTTGATGATAGTTGTTACCATAGCTCCCACGAGATGAAGGACCCGGCTCACTATCGATTATTCTAGGTCGCTTGAAGGTCGGTGTGTGGGATGAATGTGGTTGGGGGTGGGACATCTTTAAAGGCGGCGGCTGTGAACGCTTTACATTTTTTGGCGGTGGCGGTTGTGCTATGCATTGCGGACGTCGGTAACTGGGACCAGGCATATGATTGAAATCATCTTGCCAACCGTTTTCAAATTCACCCTATTTAAAGGAAGGCAAAACACTAATTACGAAGACAACAAAAAGCGCCTGGTAATTCGGAAAATCAAAATACCATATTGTCAGATTCAGAGTCTGATTCTTCATAAGGCATTTCTTCGCGTGAAAATGCTACAAATGACAAATGATAATAATCACCACGATCGGAGGCTGGCAGAGCAAGTATTGTGAGAAATGAACGTACATTTAGGCCGCTGAACGGGGGCGCGTAGCTTTACCGGGGGAGCTCTATTGCGCTATAAAATAGGGAGTAATGAAAAAAACTACGAAATACCTGATGCTGAGCGTTACGAGTTTGAAAATTTTGATTCGTTGAGGGTTTAGCAGGTCTAAATAAAAAGTCATTTTGGGGAAAGTTTACCAACCTTTTATTCTCAGACACTGTATTTTGTGCTGTCTTAGATTGTGATTGGATTAATTTTTCCAAGAGGAAACTGAAAAAATGAGAGAAACAAACCAAAAATAAACACTTACGCTCTATGACGAGTTACCTCCTGAAGTTTTTTGCGTAGCTTTTCCATTTCATCTTTAAGGAGTTCATTGGCCTAAGAAAAGTAAAAAAATTAAAGACCAACTTGCCACGTACCAAGACTTGCTCACTGCATAGCAGTTTGAGTGACTCATATTTATCCTTCAATGAGATGTCTACAGAAACGTAATTATGTATAAATATGGCAAATTACTTTTATCCGTATCTGCCATTATGGGTTCTTGAATGCTGTGCCACTTCCGCTAGATAAGGCAAGTATGCAGGGAGGTCCGCTGACGTGTATCAAAAAGCAAAAAAGTCTAACCAACCACGCAAACGCGGGTTTAAAATGGATGGCGAATAGCGAGAACAGTCGACATGATTGCAGGCGGCAGCCATCATTATTAATATGATATATTCAAAAAACCACAAAATATACTTTTTTAACATTTATTTGCTTTAATAAAAATATGGAAATAACTAATTTTATAATTAATTTGTTTAAAGTTTTGCTCATCATGCAAGCTCCTTGAATATTCTTGGCTTAAAAGTACGCCTGTCTGTTTCTGTTTTGCGTACTATATGGTTTTATATTATATTTGAGTTTTCTCTTTCGCTTCTCGTGCCGTTGAGCTAATTTTATTACTAAATGTACGTTTTAGCGATTTTTGAATTTTTTATCTGAAATATCTTGGTGTCTGATATTTTATCGTTGCTCAATGTTTTTTACCACTTAGATGACACGTCACTCCAAAAATTGCACAGCTAACACTGTATACACTTATCATGAACGTCGTAAAGATGCTAAGAATTCAGGCTATGGGACTCAGACCGTCAGATTGGGGAAAGACTCCATTCGGCCATTCGATTGTTGTTGTCTTACTCTTCAGCCGGCTAAAGATCCCGTTATTACTCAAGATGGCTTCATTTACGATCGCGCTGCGATATTAGAGTATATAATCTCTCAGAAGGCAGATATTAAGCGTCGGGAAAAAATTTATGCTAAGCAACTAGATCGTGCTCAGCGTCAGGCCATTGAAAAGAAGAAGGCAGAACGTGATGAAAAAGCACGTGCTTTCATGGCTCTTAATACTCTTGACACTCATTCTAAGGCTTCCGCTCAAGCTGCAGAATCTGCTGCCCTTGCTAGCATCTCCAAAGGAAATGGCAGGCTAACCTCATTGGAAAGTGACTACAATCCAGGTACTGCTGCTAGTTTCTGGACAAATATCCCCAGTGCAGCTGAATCTAATAATGATGTGCCTGATATACCCAAACCCGATACTACAATACGTTGTCCAATGAGTGGTAAACCCATTCGATACAAAGATCTAGTCACAGTCAAATTCACCAATTTTGTACCGGATGATAAAGGCGCTAGTAGCAGTCGTTCTACAACATTTAATGAAATTCGCCGTGTCTGTGCAGTTTCTAGTGATCCCCTCACTAGCGCTACTCATTGTTTTGTTCTTCGCCCTTCTGGTGCTGTTGTAACTCGTGAAGTGGTTGAGAAAATCATTAAAAAGGATATGGTTGATCCGATTTCCGGCAGTAAGCTTACAGATGCAGATCTTATTCAAGTTCAAACTGGCTGTGGTGGATTTGCCGATGGAAGATCCGTTTTAACTGCTACTCGTGTTGCTCCTGTTATGCCATCTTGAATTGTACTTTCTCCTTTTTTCTTGTACATATTAATATTATATCGTTAAAATATTTTGCTAGTTAATTATCATTTTGTTCTTTCTGCGTATGATTGTTGGTTAGCTAGATGAGATGGATTCGAAGATTCAGCATAATGATAAAAAGCGTTGATTTTTAATTGAGGCTAAGGCGAAAAGTCTTTTCGATGTTACGCGTGAGCAATCTCCGAAAATTTCCTTTGAATCAAATCAGTTGGAGATCTTAGAGACTCCGAATGACTTCTTTAATACCATTGAAGTAAGCAAGTTTTATTATTTTTTAGTCGATTCTGTGTAGAATGGTTTAAAAACTGCCAAAAATCGAGTTGTCTTGTCTACGCTCTACCTCGGTACTGGTGAACTTGAAGAACGTCTAGTTAGTTTGCTAAATAACTTTACCTACTTATGACCATTTAAGTAGCGTTGTTTTATTGATTCCTACCATCTGTAGGTTAAGGCGTTGATTGAAAATCCCAACAAGCCTTTGGTTATTATCTTAGCAGATGCAACACGTTCAACGCGTCCCCTCAAAATTACCGAAAAATTTGTTGGGCAGGGATCGAAGTCATCTCCCTCTTCCCCTGTTGGGGAAAATAGTTCTTCGCCATTGTTTTTGCTTCAACGGATTGCTAATCTACCAAATAGTCGAGTATCCTTGTTTCAAACCCATAAACTGCGAGGTTTCCTTTACAAAATGCTACCAGAAAGAATGAATGAAATACTTGGTCTTCAACATATGAAAGTGTACATATTTGACGATGATGTGATAATTAGCGGGTTTGTTCACTAATTTGATTTCTTTTTCCCTAATCTACTTAACTGTATTATATTATTTTTTGCCACTTTCAAGCGCAAACCTCAGCGATGAATACTTTACAACACGGCAAGATCGTGCTTGGCTATTCCGTGGAGTTTCAAAATTGGCAGAATTCTACACAGATTTGATTAATATCGTCTCATCGCTCAGCTATGTGGTTACTCCTGAGGGAGAATTGAAAGCCAATTCTAAGGAAACTGAACCCATTTTGGGTAAGGTAGTCTGATTACTCCTTGTGAGCATGAATTTATACTATTACAAGATTAGCGGTCGTTTACATGTCCAAGGCATTAGACAAGCAGTCAATAGTATACGTATGAAATTATACATAGTTTTATTCTAATTAGAAATAAATGGCCAAATGGAATAATTGAGCGTGCTAGTCCTTATCGATTTTAGATGTTATTATCATAATGTGGTGCTAACCCTATTGATCGCCTTGGTTCTAACAATGTAAAGCGGGACAAAAGACTTGACACTCCGATTCAATTATGTGGCGTCCAACCATAACGTATTCTCCAAATCACAGCTGAATGATATATTAATCTAAGAGCTGGTCTAATTTTCTTTATTTTTTTTCTAATGAAATTTTAAATTGTTTGAGCCATGCTCTAACCCGGAAAGACAAATTTTTCATTTGATTGATTGTGGGTTGGTCTGATCAATTTCTGTTTCTTTGTATTTTTTCGCATATATGACTATTTTACTTCCTGGAGGTTTTAATATTTATAAATGCAGAATTTAAAATGTACTTTGGGAATGAGAGTAAATGCAAACGAAGGTTTGGATTGTGCGACACCCGTAACCCTATTAGTGATGCTAATTGGTCTCATCTTGATCACAGAAATCGTTTGACTTCTTACTGTTACTTAAATTAATGCCCTTTAAATAAACAGAAACTTTTAAGCTCATCTTCTTGCATTGCAAGGGACCATTAAAATCGAATTAGCTTCATCTTTAAATGCCAACTGTTCATAAAATTATGGCCTATATCACTTTGACGCGTGCTGTTGGAATAATTAACTGGGTATGTGTTGCAATCTAATTAACCTCTAACATGGCAGTTACTTAATTTACTCAAAATCTCACCACCATTCAACGGTTCCCAATCTTAATGCACTGGAAAAATTGAGTTAAAAAATGTTCATAAAGTTGTTGCTTACTTTTCTTTTGGATAAAATTTTCAAGTCTACCCAACAATATGATAACTGTAAAGCAGAAAATTGAACAAATAATGCCGTTTAAATTTTTCGAAAGTATGACGAATAAAGTTTCTGGGAAATAATTCTCTCCCTTTTTTGGCCATTGAGGTTATTCTATGCGAATCATAAAAAATAGCACATTTTTTAAAATTTCACTAAATAAATCTTTAAGAATAGGTTAATTCTTCTCTCTCTACCTCTTCAAGACCGCCAAATTTAGTTATCGATTATGTTTTTTTTTATTGCAGTTTACTTCCAGCTGCCCAACTTTAAGCCCTTTTATACCAGAGTTTTTCTTGCCTCTATACCGTGTGTCCGTAATTGAGGACAACTTAGACAAAACTCGGACATACTTTTGCTTTTTTCATTTCGGTTCCAGCAACTCGGCATCGCAATAAGCTCACACGGCATCGTCCACTTTGCATTATGTGTGTATGTGTGTATGCATTCTTTCTAAGCGTGATCGAATCCTTGTGTTTACCTCCTCTTTACACGTCATTCCCCCCCACCCCACTCCACTCCACGCACACACACTTGGTAGGTCTGGAATGTTGACCACCTCAGTGATTTATAACCCAATTTAAGATTTCGAAAAGGTCACCGCCTTTGATCGCGAAATGCGAGAAACAGATAAGAGAGGTCCATTTTGTTACCTGTTGTGTTGTACAAAGTGATTGAAAAGTACCCCTTCCCCCATTCACATCTTCAAAATCAATCATGTTTGCAAAAATCAGAAAATTGTTTCATTGCTGCCCTGTCGACATGCGCCTTAATTTTTAAATATACAGCGATCTTTACAGGGCTTGCATATTCAATTAATGTAGGGAAAAAAAAAGGAAATAGAATTTATTGAATAAATAAACTTTGTTTTTTTTGCCCCAATCAAGTTCCATTTGCAGTAAATAACTATGGAGTCAAAAACCGCACAAGTTAATTAGATATTGGCTATTTAACAAATTTTTAGGATAATCGTCCGTTTATTAATTAATCCAATTGACATCGTACAAAACGGATAAGCGCATGCGTAACTGTAAAGTAATAATCCTTGGGGGAGAAGTTAAAGAGATTTGGATCCTGGGGTTGGTGAAGCCTACTTCTCTATTGTATTTGAAAGGTAATATGCGTTGCTATTTTTTGCATGGAATTATAAAGCCAACAATGTGGGAAAATTGGGGATATAGGGTGGTTTACTTACTCCTGTTTTTTTTGTAACACCTAAACCACCCGAAAATCAGACCATTGAAGACTTTGCTGATGGTTTTGCGCGCCAAGAGTGCGAATGCATTACTTTCCATTCCTTGTACATGTCCGCATACAAACGGGACATTCCACTTTACCCTCCTTTCACGAATATACCTGAGTAGAAGCGTATGAGAGCTAAAGGGGAGGGGGGCAAGTCTTCTTCCCTGAGAGTCTTGGCCTTGGAAGTTTCCAAATGAATTGACCGGAGAGGCTTTTATCCTTACTTAGCAAACGGTTAGCTTATCCTTACTTTAAATTGTCTTTTAGCAAGTGGAAGTGCATACTGCAGCCTCTTTCAAGCTAGAATTGAGTGCTTTCTCTCCACAGCAAGAGGGAAATATTCTTCGAGTTCGGACACTGACTCGACATCCTTCTCTAGTGTGATACTTCCGCTGGTTCAGATGGGCGCTTATAAGATTAATCAAGAGTTCCCATTTGTCATGCGTATTCTCCAGTATCTTCGCCTGTGCGATGATAATGAGTCGTCCTTGGAGATCTCTCTGACTTCGGGCTACTTTTGTCCGACGGATGAATTTGAGGAGGCACTTATTGCGATTGCTCAGAAATCAACTCACCCTACTCCGAAAATAAATGTGCTCTGTGCTGCTCCGGAGGTAATAATTTGTGCTCAGAAATAATACTATTGATTTTACCCTCTCCTATCTACTTTCAAACATTTGGGGGCTCTGAAGTAGGAATAAATCTTCTCAACATTTTCCACCTTTGAGAAGTGATTTATAGATTTTCCACTCCTTCATTGCTGTTCTTTTATCAAATCATGGATTATACAGCTGTTTGTGTAGCATTTGGCAATCGGAGAGACAAGTGAGGATTTTGGTTTTAAGGCCGAGGGATTTATATGAGACACAATTTAAATTTTTTTCTCTCTTTGTCTCTTTGGTCCAGTCGGGGCTTGTGGTCTTCGCTTGGGTTCCTTTTGGCTAGAAAAGTCAGCCTTAAAAGTGGATATGTAATTACTGTATTGATGGTCAGTTTTTGAAAAGAAGCATTTATTAATTTTATTTTCTTAATCCCACTCCTCACGAACTAGTTAGTGGTTGTTTGATAACAGGAGAAAAGCTTTAAATGGTTAGGTAGGTGGGGTTCACTTTTGTCTTTAAGCCACTAGAACTCACTGAGACTTGGGATATGCTAACGCTAATGGAGATTTCAGGGCGAAAATTGTTGATTGGTGTGTCCGGATTAGATATTTTACTAAGAGCACCTCTTATCCAGAGCTAACTAGCATATACGTCGTAAAACTCAGTATATGGAAAATTCACATTGATTATCTAGATCCATAGTTAGGAGATCGAGCCTGGAAAGGTGGGGGTGGGGTGG